AGGCTGAGAACCACTGCTTACACTTCAGCTGATATACACTGAGACTTCAACAGGCTTGGGAGAAAGTTGTTTTACTGGGAAACAGAGATGGCTATTTTAAGTAGGTTTTGCTACCTCTCATATCTTTAAAGTTCAGCTGTTTTCCTCCATCTCTGCTGTGTTTTCCCTTTGAGCCTCTAGACTTTCGAGGTTTGTGGGGTTTTTTTAAAGATTTTTATTGGGGAATTGTGGGAGGGGAACAGCGTTGGGGAATCGGGGAAGGGGAGCAGACAAGTTGCTGTCCTTTTGTTCTTCAGTCTAGTTGTGGAGGATGTCGCTTCACTGGCCCATGTTGGTATTATCATTGTGCTCTTCCTGGGTTAGGCAGATCGGTCACCGGCCTCTGGACGGCCGCTCATGGTGGCTCTTGGCAGCTCACTTGGCCATACACAGTAGCTTATGACAGCCCACTGCAGCAGGGGCTGCAGCCTACGCTGTCGCCGGCGACTCACAGCAGCCCAGCTCCAGGTCAAGATGCCATTCACCATCTTAGCTGTAGAGGGCAATGTCACTGGCTCTCATGTGGGATCCAAACTGAGGCCCTGCTGCTTAGAGCTGGTGTCCCAAGCCAGCTCTTACCCAGCACGCCACTCGGCCGGCCCCAGACTTTCGAGGTTTTTGACTAGGGTGAACAGATCTCTAAATTAGACTTGTACTTTCCTCTATATTTACCTACCCAAATATGTTTCCCATTAAAGAAGTTAGCTCTAACAGAAATGTTAGATGTTTAGTCACTTTAAGATGCCTGAATGTAGTGTTTGCCAACTTTTGTTTCGATTTGTTGCTTCTCTTGACCTTTTTCAAGTTTTCCATAAACTGTGCCTATTTATGAGTCATAAAAATATTATAGGGAGAAACTTGTGTTCTGTATTAACGAGAAAGGCAAGCATGTCTATGATATTACTTTTAATTTTAAAAGGAATTTTTACTTTGGTGCAATAGTGACATATGAGAAATGGCATTAAGTTGTGAAAAACAAAACTCACTGTTCTTGCTATTCAAGAGTGGATGGAGGATTTAACTGTTGGGGCTGCTGGGTTATTTGATATTCTTTGTGACAGAGTAAAAACAGTTCATTAATCATGGACTATATAGAATTTCAGGTATTTAGTTACAGATTTTTCCTTGAAAGGTCAATTGTCCTGTGGTATGTGAAGACAGAATGTGGTGTGTTTGATTGTCCAGTGAGCCATTTAGTTTCATGATATCCCTCTGCTTTTACTCCTGGAAGCTGTCCTACAGATTGTATAGTGGTTTCGAAAGGGAAACATGAATTGATTATCTGGGGAATTGATTAGGAAAAGCAGTCACCCAAAGTGAAGGTTCTACTGAAAATGGATTACTATCCCTTCGCTTATGAAAGAAAAAACTTAGAAAACATTATTTAAATAGGTAATACGTATACATGGCTTAAAAAGTTCCAACAGCACAGAATGGTATATCATAAAAAATTAGTCTTCTTGGGCCGGCCGAGTGGCTCATTGGTTAAGAGTTGGCTTGGGGGCCGGCCTGAGTGGTGTGTTGGTTAAGAGCTGGCTTGGGATGCCAGCTCTGAGCAGCAGGGCCCCAGTTTGGATCCCACATGAGGGCCAGTGATGCTGCGCCCTCTACAGCTAAGATGGTGAACAACAGCTTGACCTGGAGCTGGACTGCTGTGAGTCGCCGGCGATGGCGTAGGCTGCAGTGGGCTGCCATAAGCTACCATGAATGGCCAGCAGCCAGTGTGAGCTGCCAAGAGCCGCCATGGGCAGCCGTCCAATGGCCGGCGACCGATCTGCCTCTCTCGAGAAGAGGGCAATGATAATACCAACATGGGCCAGTGAAGCGGCGTCCTCTACAACTAGACTGAAGAACAAAAGGACAGCAACGTATCTGTTCCCCTTCCCCGATTCCCCAGTGCTGTTCCCTCCCCCAGTTCCCCAATTAAAAAAAAAAAAAGTCTTCTAAATACCCACTGTGGCTAAATTATGTTGATACTATGTACTCTTGATAGGATGTGATGAAAATGGCACTTCCGTGGCTTTCCTTCCAAAAACTCACAGCTCCAGTCTAGTCATGAGGAAAACATACAAATTCCATTAGAAAGGCATCCTACAAAATACTTGACCATTACTCCTCGAAACTGTCGAGATCATCAAAAACAAGGAAAGTCAAAGAAACTGCCACAGACAAGAGGAGCCTAAGAAGACATGGCAACTAAATATAATATGGTATACTAGATGGGATCCTGGGACAGAAAAAGGACATTAGGTAAAAACTTTAAAAATCTGAATAAATTGTGGATTTTAGTTAATAGTAATTCATCAATACCGGTTGATTAATTGTGGCAAAAGTACTGTACTAATCTAAGATGCTAGTAACAGGGGAAACTGAGAGTGAGGGAGATGAGAACTTCTCTGTACTATCTCCTCAATGTTTATGTAAATCTAAAACTGTTCTATAATATAAAATGTTTTTAAAAAAGTCTCCTTCCTTCCCTGAACCTCTGGTACCCTAGTCTAAATGGAACCACTTCCTCCCATTTTCTTGTGACTCCTTTGAGAGAGATTTTAGCCCAATATAAACATAATGTATATATCCCTCTCCCTCCTGCTTAACAAACAAAAAACAACAACAACAGACAAATGGCAACATACTATGTGTAGTATTCTTAATTTCACTTAAGATTGTTCCATATTAACACACATATTCATTAGTAGTCATAGTATTTCATTATATAGATATACCACAGTTTAACTGGTCATCTTCTGATGGATAGTTAGGGTTGTCCTATTAGACTGAAATGTATTGGTTTATAACCCTAACATTTGGAACAGAGTTGGGAATTGACATGGTGGGGAGGGAACAATCAAGTTTGATTTTGACATTTAGTTGGATTAATTGATAGATTTAATACACTTCTCTCTTTAGAAACAATCAAGTTTTACTTAAATGTTTTGTTAGATTTGTTTATTCATTCATTTATTTAATATCATACTTATCTCTATAAGAGAATTGAGGCAGGATGTCTCCTATTCTCCTATTTAGTTATTTAAATCTATTTGATGAATATCTGGCAGATGACGCGTATGTTCTAATCATAATACCAAATAAGTAATTGCAGGTGATACAGAAATGTATTGAGATACAGGCCTAGATATGGCTCATGGTGAAATAAGAGAGATGGACCCAGAAATATCATATTTCTTTGATCTGTATTAACACTGTATTATAGCCTGCTGCAGAAGCACAGAGGAGGAAGTGCCTAAACCATACATTGTATTTTCCAGTGAGTTTTAGGTGTCATTCCAAACGAACTCAGAAAAGGGAGTTGAAGGTTCATGGTTGACTCAGTTGAATGGTCTTTGTCACCAAGGGAAGGGAAATGTCCTCAATTCTCTTCTGTTCATAGTATCTAGAGTCGGAGACTTTAGGTTTGTAGAGTAAAGTGAGTCAGCCTCCACTCTAAGACAGCTTCTGGGAAAATGTCCTGTAAATTGTTTGGATTAATAAGCAGTACAAAATATTCAGTAATACGATTTCCTTAGGTTTTAGTATATATTCAGGAAAGCTATTATATACTCTGGTACGGTGATGCTGTTACACACAGCCATGAAACTTGTTCATTGTTTACCAAGGAATGGTTATATCTAATGATGGAAGAAAACAAACCAAAGACAGGGAAAGGATCAAGTGTTGTGCTTTTCACTAGTTCCTTTTCATGACCAACAAGGCTTTCCTCTATGAGTTAGCCTTGCTTTCCTTTCTTATCTAGTAGCTTTAAGGGTTAGCTCTCTTTTGTTTATTTAATTATATTTATTTTAATTACAAAATAAATAGATGAGTCCATTCCTACAAGATATTCAAACACTGTTCCACTTGACTCCTGTCCACCAAAGGAACCAACCATTCATTGTTCTCTGGTGTGTATTGAAAGGGGTGTGTGTGTGTGTGTGTGTGTGTATATGTAACATTAATGGTGTCATACAAAATACACTGTCCTATTTGATTTGTTCACTTAGCCATATGTATCAGAGGGCATTGTATTAAAGGGCATTTAAAATCATACCATGTTGAGTGACCTTATTCCATTTTATGGATGTAACAGGATTAATTTAACCTTTCTGCTGTTGTTGGCTTTTTAGGCTGTTACCATTTTGGGGTTGTTAAGACAAATAATGCTGCTGTGAGCCCTCTTGTGCATTCTCTGGACATTGTGAGAGTTTTTCTAAGTTATCAAGAAGTAGATTTGCTACTCAAAGGATTTTGTGATTTTAAATTTTGCTAAGTACTACTAACATGTTGTTGCATGATAAAAGCAAGTTATAGATTGCAATGGATAGTATAATATCATTTATGTTGGAAGAAAAACCTAGATGTGTCACAGAAACATTTAATTAACTAGACTGATAATGGTTGAAATTTTAGAGAGAATACTAGACTTCAGAATAGTAGTGAAAGGGACTTTGGCCTTTTAAGCAATGTTTAGGTTTTTATAACAAGAATATATTCATGTATTACTTGAGTTATAAATAGTTACCAATAAAAGTACAGAGATGTTTGAATTTTTTATATCTATGTTTATCCGCAGTCATAGAATAACCCCTGTTTTCAATCAAATTTTGACGATATATTAGTGTGTAGGAAAAAAAATGAATATATTTCAAAAAGAATTAGATGAAGGTAGTTGAGGATCACATTCTTTAGCCACTTTCATTCCAGTCAAATATTTAATCACCTTGGGTTTTCTAGATTTTATAGTAAAAAACTAATTGTTTTCTAGCTTTTTGTTTACAATGTCTGGATTCTAGTACAAGTGACAAAAAATGTTTTTAATTTTACTATTGCCATAATGCCCTTTAATGCAAAATAGAACTCGTAAATATTGCCAGTGTTGTGTGACTATAGTAAACAACTGCTTAGATTATGTGGTTCTAAAGAATAGGTGTTTTTTTAATATATAACTTTTGTTTTTCTTAAAGAGATGTGAAAGCTGGAAATATTCTTCTTGGAGAAGATGGCTCAGTACAGATTGCAGGTAATGATTAGTATTTCTTTTCGTTTTGATAGTGGTCAGTTGAACCACATTACTCATCTTTTATAGTTTCTTAGTCAGTTTGCTCTTCTCTTCCCTGGACCATTTCTAGTCAAGCATCCTATTTTGGCACATCCCTGCTGGTTCTCAAGACATCCTCCACTACTCAGTTTTCTTTTTTGACCTTAGACATTTTCCTGACCATTACTCATCACCTTTTAGTTACCCACTCTTTATCCTCCATTAGGGTCTTCTATGGGTTCTCAGAGCAGTCTGTACTTTCCTTTAAAGGAGAAGTAGTCAAGAAATCTCATTGTGTTTAAGAATAAATATGCCATAGAAAAGGGATACAGAGCTGCTTATGTCCTGGGAGAATTTGGGTATTTGCCAATTAAGAAGAGGCATCTGAGGGGGAAGTGCACTTTGGGGGAGATTCAGAGCTGAAGAGATAAGAGTTGGAGTCCAGGGCCTGCCCCAGGTGGCTGTCCTGGTGAAATACCCCTTCCTCCAGATTGAGACTCCAGAATGGCTCTCCCGCAGGATCGCTGAGCAGGCAGACCATCTGAGCAAACCTTAACTTAGTCCCATGCGCACTGCTGGAACAGTCACATTATTTGGCAGGAGGAAGATAATCACCCAAAATTTATTTCTTCAGATTTAGAAGATAACTTTTAACCAAGCCATATAATGCTCTAACATACAGGAAAAGATTGATAAATTTGACACCTTTAAAGTGATCAACTTCTATTCATTAAAAGAGGAACAGTTTATCATCATTAATAAGTAAAATGGCCAACCACAGAATAAAGAAGACATTTGCAGCATGAATAACAGACAAAAGGCTCAAATTTAGAATATATAAAGAACTCATGAAGAAAAAACTGATTAGAAAATGGGCAGAAAATTTCCCAAATGAAGACATCAAAACATAAATATAATAATAGGTGTTCAGCCTCACTAGTAATCAATTAAATACAAAGTAGAATAACATTGGGATACCATGTTATACTGACTGACCTGGCAAAAACACCTAACAATACCAGCTGTTAGTGTGGGTGTAAAGCAAAGAGAACTCTCATACTCTGATAGGGGAATGTAAATTAGTACACTTTGATAACACATTGTAGATCGGTGACACAGATTTGCGTTAGCGTATGTGGAACAATCAGAGTGAACAGGGGTCTTCCTCCAGAAATGAAAAACGATTCACAGTCTCTGAAACGTGGCGAAACCACATTCAGGAGAAAGGGCGAAATTCTTCAATCCTGGAGGGATACTCGTGTTGTCAACATGATTTCCAAAATTCACGATTCAACAATGGTAAATGTTCCACGGAGAAATGAAGGAGTAAAGAAAAAACCTATTTGTATTTTTCAGTACAATATGTTCATGAAGGGTGTTGGTAGGGCAGATCAGTACTTATAAATTTCAGTTCACAGAAATAGTTAGCGAATTTGTTGTAAATTTTTAAAGAAACAGTGTAAAAGTTGATTTAAATGGTTTAAACCCCGGGAACATGCATTTAAACAATTTAAATGCCCCGTCCTCAATGTGTTAAGATATGCATACCCTAAGACTGGTTTCTAGGTGTATGGTCTGGAGAAATTCGTGCTTATGTGTACCACGGTACTCATAAGCATCAAAAGTTTGAAACAGTCCCAAGTATTTCATTAGTAGAATGGATAAATAAATTGTGTGTAATTTATACATTAGAATACCATCTAGTGATGCAATTGAATAGAACTACAACTAATTACAAAAGTATTAATAAATTACAAAGCCATAACATAAAAGAATCCAGTCAAATAGAATATATAGCTTGTGATTCCATTTATATAAGTTCAGCATAAGACACAATTATGCTTTATTGCTTAGAGAAGCAAAATCATGTTGCAAAAAACTAAAGGCAAGAGGATTCTAGGAAGATGGCAAGTAGGAAGCACCAGGCATCTTTACCCCACCTAGACAGCAGTTGGACTAGCAGAATCTGTCTCATGTACAGCAGGTCCTCAGATAATGTTTCATTCAGTGTCATTTCATTATAGTGTTGATGAGATACCATAGGAACTTAACTCTTGTTTATATCAGTTAGCTTGTGGTAAAATTAGTTTCATTATATATCAATTCACTTAGAGTCGCACAACCTGTTTACTAAGTCAAGTGAGGACTTACTGTAACTATTTTGGAATTCTGTAGTCCATTGAAGGATTGAAAATTCTAAGGGAAGTCTTGGAAGGTAAATTGTGGTTAATTTTGGTCAATGTCAGAGCTGCTCATTCCTTACCCATCAGCCATGTTGCAGGCAGCTGTGTGCATGTTTTTGGAGCGGCTTGCACACAGCTTGTGGGAACCATGGTGGGCAAAGAGCTTCCTGTCCTCCAAACGTCAGGGATCTGAGCTCTGATCACAAAGGTGCAGGCGAAGAGGCAAGCAGCCATTGTTGCTGCACCCCCCCCCCCCCCCCCCGCCAAGTGACTTCCAGGGGAATTAACGGGTCAGCGCCTTTTTTCCTTCCCTTCATTTTTCTTTTCTTTCCCTTTTTGGAGCCAGACATTAGACACTGGGACATTAAAAAACAACTACATGTATAAGGAAAATTGGAAAGTGACTGCACATGCATAGGAAAAAGTGCAGAAAAGACCTGAGAAGAACTTAAGTTTACATCTTGGGCTGATACTTGACACAGAGACAGCCTACAACAACCAAAAAAAACCCAAAAAACAAACCCTGGGAAAGAGGTAGAATATGATCTCCAGAGTTGTCATGTTATTAGATTCTAGTCTCCAGTTTTCAACAATAAAATCACAAGGCATTCAGGAAAGTGTGGCCCATTCAGAGGAAATAAATAAATCAACAAACTGTCACTGAAACAAACTGTCACATCTAGTAGATGGCAGATCTACTAGACAAAGACTTTAAAACAGCAATCTTTAAGATGCTCAGAAAATTAAAGGATAATGTAGAGAAACTAAAGAAAACAATGTGTGAACAAAATGGAACTATTACTAAAGAGGGAAAACCTAAAAGAAACCAAAAAGAAATCCTGGAGCTAAAAAGTGCAATAACTTGTACTGTGAAATGAAAAACTCACTAGAAGAATTTGGTTGCAGATTTGAGCTGGCAGAAGAAATAATTGGTACACTTGAAGATAGGGAAATGGAAATTAGCAAGTATGATAAATAGAAAGGAAAAAGGTGAAGAAAAGTGAACAGAGCCTGAGGGACTTGTTGGAATCCATTAAGCGGACCAACACACAGATTGTGGGAGGCCAAGAAGGAGAAGAGAGAAAGGAGCAGTAAGAATAATTGCAGAAATAATGGCTGAAAACATCCCAAATTTCATGAAAGACATGAATATAAACATCCAAGAAGCTCAATAATTTTCAAGTAAGATGAACTCTTAAGAGACTCACACAGAGACACCTTATAATCAAACTTATGGAAGCCAAAGACAAAGAATCTTGAAAGGAGCAAGAGAGAAACAACTCATCACATACAAGGTTATACTCAATAAGGTTGTCAACAGATTTCTCATCAAAAACTTTTGGAGGCCAGAAGGCAGTGGCCAATATATTCAAAGTCTAAAAGAAAAAAATTGTTAAGAATCCTATGTCCAGTAAAACTGTCCATCAAAAGCGAGGGATAAATGAAGACATTCCCAGATAAACAAAAGCGGAGGGAATTTGTTTCCACTAGACCTGCCCTGCAAGAAATACTCAAGGGCGTCCTGCAAAGTGAAATGAAAAGACACTAGACAATAACTCCAAACAGTGTGAAGAAATAAAGATCTCAATAAAGGTAAATACATGGATAAGTATAAAAGCTATTATTGTAAGTATTATTGTAACACTGGTTTGTAGCTCCACTTTTTTTTTCTACATGATTTAAGAGACTAATGCATTTAAAGAATTAGTCGTTTATATTTTTGAGCACACAGTGTATTAAGATGTAATCTTGTGACAGCAGCAACCAAAAAGGGTGGGAACAGTGCTGTAAAGGAGAAGAGTTTCTGTATATTATTGAAGGTAAGCTGGTATAAGTTCAAATTAGAGTGTTATAACTTTAGAATGATAAATGTAATTCCTATGGTAGCCACAGAGAAAATAGCTATAGAATATAGACAAAAGGAAATGAGAAATAATTTAAGCATTTCATAACAAAATATCAACTAAACCCAAAAGAGGTAATGCAGGAAATAGGAGATAAAACTATTAGACATATAGACAATAAATAACACAATGACAGAAGTCCCTCCTTATCAGTAATTGCTTTAAATGTAAATGGATTAACTCTCTAATCAAAAGACAGAGATTGGCAGAATGGATAAAATCACATGATCCAAATATATGCTGTCTATAAGGGACTCACTTTAAATCCAAAGACACAAAATTGATTGAAAATGAAAAGATGGAAAAATACATGCAAGTAGTAACCAAACACAGAGCAGGGGTAGCTATTCTAATATCAGGTAAAATAGACATTATATCATGAAAGGTTACAGGAAAGAAAGAAGAAAGAGTACATTGCATATTAATAGAGGAGTCAATACAGCAAGATGATATAATAATTATATATATACATATATATGTATATATATGTAGCATATATTCATGCACATAATAACATACCAGCAAAATATATGAAACAAAAAATGATAGAACTAAAGGGAAAAGTATATAGGTCTACAATAATAGTTGGAGACCACAGTACTTCATTGTCAATAATGGATAGAACAAATAGAAGATAAAGAAATAGAGGGCTTACTACAATGACCATTTAAATCTAACAGAAATATGCAGGACACTACCCAACAAAAATAGCATATACATTCATCTCAAGTGTATAAGGGACATTTTCCATAATAGACCATATGTTAGGCCACAGATTAAATCTCGATAGATTTGAAAAGGTAGATATCATACAAAGTATCTTATCCAACCACAGTAGGATAAAGTTAGAAATCAATAACAGGAATAAGTGAAGAAAACTCACTAAGGATTTGTGATGAAGGAAAACATCACAAGGGAAGTTATAAAATACTTAAAAATGATTGAAAACAAAATACCAGCTGTACCAAAACTTGTGCAATACAGCAAAAGCATTGGTGAGGGACAAATTTATAGCTATAGATGCATTATTTTTAAAAAATCAAGAATGATAGCAAATCAATCTAACTTTATAGCTTAAGGAGCTTGAAAACGAAACTTAAGCCCAAAGCTAGCAGAAGGAAGGAAGGAAATAATAAAGTTTAGAGCAGAAATAAAGGAAATAGAGAATAGAAAAGCAATAGAGAAAATCAATGAAATCAAAAGCTGGTTCTTTGAAAAGATCACCAAAATTGACAAGCCTTTAGGTAATGGACTAAGAAAAAAAAGAGAACTCTCAAATAAGTAAAATAAAAAATGAAAGTGGGGACATTATTACCAACCTACAGAAATAAAAAGGATTACAAGAAAGTACTAGGACCAGTTGTACTCCAACAAATTGGATAACTCAGATGAATTGGACACATTCCTTGAAACAAAACCTACCAAGATGAAATCACGAAGGAATAGAAAATCTGAATTGATCTATAGTAAGAAGATTGAATCAGTAATTACAAAGAAAAGCCCTGTACCTGATGGTTTCACTGGTGAATTCTACCATGCATTTAAAGAGGAACTAGTAATAGCCCTTCTCAATTTTCCCCCAAACTTAAAGAGGAGGGAGCACTTTCTAACTCATTCTGTGAGGCCAGCATTACTCTGATACAAAAGCCAAAGACATTATGGGGAAACTACAGACCGATATCCCTTAATGAATATTGATGCAAAAATCCTCAACAAAATACTAGCAAACCAAATTCAGTAGCATATTAAGTGGGTTATACATGTCCAGATGGTATTTTCTTCTTGGAATGCAAGGATGGTTCACACATATGAAAATCAATGTACTAGAGCACATTAACAACGCAGGAGAAATACCACATGATCTTCTCAACGCTGAACAAGCATTTGAGACAATTTAACAGCCTTTCATGATAGAAATATGCAACAAAGCAGGAACAGAAGGAAACTTCCTCTATTTACTAAAAGCCATATATGAAAAACTTACAATAATTATATTCCATGATGAAAGAGTGAGTGAAAGCTTTTCCTGAGTTCAGGAACACGGCAAAAATGTCTGCTTTTGCCATGTCTGTTGAACATAGTGCTGGAAGATCTAGGTTGAACAGTTAGGCAAGAGAAATAAAAGAAATTCAGACTGTAAAGAAAAGTAAATTATCTCTGCAGATTACATGATCTTATATGTAGAAAACCCTAAACATTCCATAACCGATTTGAACTAATAAATGAATTTAGCAAAGTAGGATACAA